TCCTTTATTTTGTCTTGACTTTTACATTTTAGAGATAATCACTCAGTCTTTAGCTTCCCAAGCATTCTTTTGGATCAGAGGATGAATTTTATGTATTGCAAGTTCTGAGCTGGAGGTAGATATGAGAGCAGTTGGAATAGACATTACCTTCTGGAATTAATCATTTAATTTGAATGAATACCTTAAAGTGTGCTTGTCTGAATTCTCTAACTTCTTTCTTAGACCTGAAACAGATTTAGTTTCAGAACCCTGATGCATAAACAACACTGGCTGCATTTTTGCAGAGCAGATGACTACCTGGTTCAATGTCCTGCTCAGACAGGCCCATGGAAGATTCTGTGGGAAGAGCACTGGGTGATGCTACAGAATGGTCATACTTCCCCAGTATTCTCTGGGACTTGATAATCAGTGATTTTCTAGCCAGGAGATGATATCTTTGTATATAAATAGTGTTAGTGGCTCTTGCTTCTGTGAGTTGTCTAATCATTTTTGAAACCCTTTAAATTTTTGGCATCCTTAACTTCCCGTAGTAAGAAGGCATCCATAGTTTAATTATGTGTTATGAGAAAAACTGCCTCCTTCTGTTTGTTTTAACCTGCCCACCTGATGACTTCATTCAGTTTTTCCTATGTTTTGTAGTATGAGAGGTGAGTGATTGTTCCCTCTTCTCCTTCTCCCTGAAGCTTGTGATTTTATAGATGTATTTCCTATTTTTTTCAGTTGTCATTTTTCCAAGCTGAAGAATCCCTACTTATTTAGTCATTCCTCAATATATAAGTTGTTCCTTACCTTTGATCATCTCTACAGCATTTCTGTGTACTTTTTCCAGTTCTACTGTGTGCTTTTTGAGAAGGGAGGAGGGACAGGAGTTAGAACCATCTTCAATGTGCAAGAGATGTATGCAATTTTGGTTTATATGGTAGCATAGTAGTGTTAGTGTTTTTGTTCTCTATGCCTTTCCTTGTAAATCCTTACACTGAATTTACTTTTTGAGAGGATTTAAGTGATGTTTTCGTAGAAAAAAAATCTATTAGAGCTATAGTTATAAGGTTTCCTTCCTGAATAAAATAAGTAGTTGTAGTGGGTTGACCCTGGCTGGATGCCAGGTACCCACCAAAGCCACTCTTTCACTTCCCTCTGCAACTTGACAGGGAAGAGAAAACATACCGAAGGTTTCATGAGTTAAGAAACAGGAGAGATCACTCACTGATTACTGTCATGGGCAAAACAGACTTGAAGTGCGGGTATTAGTTAAATTTATTACTCACAGAATCAGAGCAGGATAGTGAGAAGTAAAATAAATCTTAAAAACATCTTCCCCCCACCCCTCTCTCCTTCCAAGTTCTACCTCCCCTCCCCCAGCAGTGCAGGGAGACAGAGAATGAGGGTTATGGGCAGTTGTTGTTTCTGCAACTGCTCAGAGAGGGAAGTCCTTCCCCTGCTCCTGTGGGGTCCCTCCCAGGGATACAGTCCTTCACGAACTTCTCCAATATGAGTCCATCCCACAGGCAACAGTTCTTCAGAAACCACTGCAACGTGAGTCACTTTTCCATGGGGTGCAGTCCTTCAGGCACAGGCTGCTCCAGTGTGGATTCCCCCACAGGGCCCCAAGTCGCACCAGGAAAACCTCCTCAAACGTGGGCTCCTTTCTCCATGGGTCAGCAGGTCCCTGCCAGGCCCTTGTTCCGGCATGGGTCTTCTCCATGGGCTGCAGGGCAATCTCTGCACCTCCATGATCCTCCATGGGCTGCAGGGGCACAGCTGCTTCACCATGGTCTGCACCACAGGCTGCAGGGGAACCTCAGCTCTGGTGCCTGGAGCACCTCCTCCCCCTCCTTCTCCACTGACCTTGGTGTCTGCATTGTTGTTCACATGTTCTCACTCCACTCTTCTCTAGCTGCAATTTTCATCTGCACAGTAACTTTTTTCTCCTTCTTAAATATGTTACTATCATTCCTGACTGGCTCAGCCTTAGCCAGCAGTGGGTCCATCCTGGAGGTGGCTGGCATTGGCTCTGCAGGACATGGGGGAAACTTCCAGCAGCTTCTCCCAGAAGCCTCCCCTCTAGCCCCCTGCTACCAAAACCTGGCCACAGAAACCCAATACGCTAGTTCAAAGTCTGTCACTGTGTAAAACTAGGGTTGTGTTTCCCTGGGTACATGACTTCGTAGTTACTAAAATGAATGCCATCTACCTATTTAATCTGATTATTCAGTAACATGATGTTTTTTTCTCACTTCTCGGTGGCTTTCAGTTTTTCACCAGCAGATTTTTTTTTTTATTATTTCACTCTTTTTTCCCCCAGATCACTTAGAAATCTTTGAAAAGTAGAGATCATTGCACAGGTTCTTGTTGGAACCTCCGTGGTAATTGTGGAAACTGTCCATTTATTCTAGCTCTGGTTTAATGTGTTTTAACTAGTTACAAAATCCAGAAGAGTTACCCCTTAATCCTGTGTTGGCTTACTTTATTTAGGAGCGTTGTAACTGAATTTAACCTAATTTTCTCAACTGAGAAAAGCTGGTGTGAAAAAGTTATTCTAGGCAAATAGACAAATACAGTTGTTGTTTAGTCCAAAACAGAGGTATTGAAGATCATAATCTCTCATAAGTTCTGATGAGGAATTAATCAGGTCATTTACTGAGCACTAACATGACTTTGATGGGGCTCCTGAACGCTCTTCAGCTTTGTATCTGGTGTAATGTTTGTTTCAAAGGCTGATCTGCAGTAATCCCCAGCCATCTCCCAAAGGCTGCATCCCAGTCTGAGCACAGTCCTTTGTGCGTTTCACCTGTCAGCGTGACCTGACTTTACTGGAAGGATAACAGAGAGTCCAGCTGCTTCACATAAGGGTAAAGTCCAATGAGCTTTAACATCAGGGTGGATAGTGGAGTCCATATCTATGCAGTGGAAGGAGCAGATATGACCCTTGGGATGAGTCCAAGTGACAGCAACCTGCTGATAACCCAGCAGGTGAGCTGGTGGGATTGGGGAGGAGACAGCTAGGGATCATTTCAAAGATTCTTTGTTCCTTGTCCTGTCCTCCTTTAAAGTTGTGCATTTTGTGGTATCCTGTGCCTAGTAGGCAACAGTGTTGGGGCGCCAGCACCACACACACATCCCATGGATCCAGAGCTGAGCAACTGCAGGTAGAATCACAGTAGGAGAGAGAGGATCATGACTTCATTACTGGGGCAGAAGAGAGGGAGGCGGGTTCAGAAGAGGGAAGCAGCTCTTCCAAGGTTAACCACAAAGCCAGCTTCAGACCTTGGGTTTCAAGTCCTCAGTACTGTCAGCAACATTACAGTTGTCAGTTTTCCAAGTACTGGTGAAAGGAAAAGAACTGAAAGACTGAGAATCTTCTAGCAAAAGGTAGCAGGGAGCAAGAGTCATTTTTCTAGTGCTGCACTGGGGTACAGTGCAAGCAAAGGAATGAAGAAACATAGGTGGGATCCCTTGAACAGGTAAGTCTAGAGAAAGCTACCTACAACTCATGGCCCGTAAGAGCAAAAGTAGTAGTGGTGCTCTAAGCAGGGGGGAGGTCCAGAGGGTGGAAGGTGAAGATGCTGCTGAACTCCTTTTCTCCTGAATTATCATACTCTTTTGTTGCTGAGGAGCTGAGTATGGAGCGTGACCCTTTAGTGTTTGGAGTCCTTGTCCTCAGTTTACTTTGAAAGGTTATTTTTGAGGAAGAGTAAATAGGGCTGGCAGTTGTCTCTGGTCTTGTTTGAAACATTCTTCTGAATATTTTAAGGGTTTGCAGTGATGAAAAAATTTGTGGAGGAAGGAGCAACAGATTCAAGGGAAGCTGTGACATGTTCACAGAATGTAGGTTGTAAGTTTTAATAGGATCCTGAAGCAAAGGGATTGCAGTTAACTTCCTTGCCAAAACCATGACCTACACTCCAAATTGTGGCATAAAAGACACCAGTTATCTTTTACATCCTAGTTATTTATGATGAGGATAGGAAATATAAGGGAAGTCTGCCCTGAGAATCCAAAGGGCAGGATGGAAGGAGTGGAAGGAGTGGCTGAGAGATGAATGACAGAGATAACAGAAATTTGGGAAGCTCAGGCATTGAGGATTGAGGGGTTTATTAGCCAGAGTGTCAGGATTCAGTAGGTCATATGGCATACTGTCTTGTGAGCACAGAATGTGTGAGTTGCTGGGCCATTGTAGCCTCTTCAGGACACCTTGTGGTCCTGTCAGTCGGCCACCTGCTCTCTGCAAAGCCCCTCGGCCTTCTGTGTTGCTGCTGCCTTCTCACCAAGGCTTACAAACTTCAAAGCAAGCCAGTGAGCTCCTTTTGGTATTTATCATGTTGCAGGCCACAGCTGAACTCCCACCGTGTAAGCCTGGGTTGTTAAGAGTTCCTGTCTCTTTGCGGGAGACCTTTTGTCCTCTGGGAAAGGCTTGCATTAGTCTGATGATGAAAGAAATGAACCTATCTTAACTCATCCCACGTCTTTTGGATTGTAACTGTATGGAGTCAATATGTATCCTAATTGCAACCTCACTCAGCCAGTCATTTATCCTCTGTGGATATTGTACTGTGTGTCTTTCTTCTATTCCACTCTCACTTCAGCATGTGTGTGCTTAGTGTAAGCCCTGTGTTAGTATATTAAAATATCTACAAATCCAAATAAATAATGGTCTCATTAGTGATGGGAATCCTTAGCTCTTTTCCTGCTGCAACTCTACCTCTCATCAATGCTAATCAGCCACAGAAATGCTCCAGTTTAGAGTTCTTACTCTCTTTTTCTTGGTTCTCTTCAAGAGAATGTCCAGTAAAATAGTCCCAGACTGGAATTCGTTAAAGTGTTTAGCAAGACTGCACTTGGCACATGGCACCTCTAGCAGGTGTTGTGCTTGCTAAAGCCACTTACTGCAAATTCATAGCTGGCTAAGTATTAAGGGATTTTTTTGAAGCAGCAGTGCCTTATAGGCAGGAGTCCTTATACGGAGAGTGGTGAAAACATGATGGCTCTTCTTTTCTCAGGGCTCCAGAGAACCATCATTTTGCCTGTGACGGAGAGATGGAGAACAGTGTCTACAACAGGGTGACAGAGAGTCCACTGGCACATCCCAACTATCAGCTTCATTTTGCTGTGCAGCAACTTCAGCAGCAGAAACTTCAATCACGACAATTGTTAGAGCAAAACCAAGCACGGCAACAGGTAACTAAGAAAAAATCCTGCCTGGGATGTAGCACTGCTGACTGAGTCTTAGATGTGCAGAACAAACCCAGAGACAGTACATGTGGCACAACTTTCGTGAAGAAAGTAGCTTTTAAAGTGTGTTTCAAAGAAATTAATATTACCTACAGTGATTTTAATAGCATTTTGATGCTGTAGTTCCCAATAGCTTCTTCAATTGCATTAGCATCTAAGAGCTTGTATTAATGATGTTCTGGATGCCAAAGGTGGACCACTGTGTTTTGAACAGCATTTCCACCCTTCCTGTGGAATCTTCCAAGGTTACAGTGACTTCATTGATACACTTGTTACCTTACTTTGTTATTATGGAGAGAGAGATATATTCTGAGTGATGTCCAAAAGGCTTCCCTGCTAAAGTGAAGGAAGTCTTTGGGTGAACAAACCTTCACTCAAAAGAGTTTGGTCTCCCTTAGTAAGGAGCTGTTTTCTGGGCAGTCTGGTATGACTGGACTCCTGTGAACAGAGGTAACACGTGGAGGTCCAAACACCCACCCTCCCTCCTGCGAAGCAGATGAGTCATTAGTCACGGTCTTTGAGAAAGGTTATAGGCAAATTGCCCTCATCCTTTTCTGGGAGCATCTTGAAGGAGAGGCCCTTCTGCTTTTGCCCCTTGCACTCCTTCTTTTAAGGCCCTTACTTAGCCATGCAGTTTCCACCTCAGCTTTCCTCACCTACAATCTTCTTGTTCCTCCTTCAAGCAGGAGGTCTTCCTTTCATCTTAATCCATGGGTGGGCACTTGTGGCTGCTCATGAGCTCAGGAAAGGGCTGTAAAATGGCTTGTGCCTGTGAAGAGGCTGGAACTGGCCATGGGACCTGGCTGAGCCCTCTTCTAATTGCTGACATTGAGCTGATGTTATTCTTGGCCAGGGCAGAGCCATTACTCAGGAGTTTCTGTTAAAGTAATTCTTTGTTAAACCTCCTCTTACACCCACAACGTCCCCCTCCTTTCTGTCCCTCCCTTCTCCTTCAGAGCCAAGCAGTTTGGAGAGGCCATTGCCATGCTCAAGGGCTCAGGCTGCACTGAATTTGTCATTAATGAAAAAAGGTATTTGCTGAACTTGGGGGCTTTCAGACTTTCTGTCAGGAAAACCACATCTTGATAAAATGATTGTCTCTTGGACGCTTCCTCTCCCAGTTGACATTGTATGGAGCCAGCCAGCCAGCCCTCCTCTTCCAGTCACAGTTGTATTGATCCTCTGATGCCCCTTCCAGTCACGGCACTATCCTCATCTTCATCTATCACCTGCACCCTCTCTATCTTCCTATCACTGACCTTTTACTTTGTTGACTTAAGTTCTCAGATTTCAGTCCTTTGACTTGGCTTTTCCAAGAACTACCTTCTCTTTTCTGCTGCTTATGTGTTCCCTGCCCTACATCTTCCCACTCAGACTGCTTTGACTTCTGCCCCACCATTCATGCTGGCCCTCATTTGTCCTCTCTTTTTAGCCGCAGTTGATGTAGCTTATCTAGGCTGCATGGCTTTACACATTTCCTAGTCAGTGTCACCTAAGCTACCTACCTCCCATTGCCTGCTGTTTCCCTTCTGTTCCTTCCCATGTATTGAGATCTACTTCATCCTTGTTGTCTTGCCTGCTGTATTCAAGTTCATCAGCCTCCTCTCAACAGAAGAAATATATCCCCCAAGCTGGAAAGGCCTATCACTTGAAAGAGTGTCATGATCTCTGCTTTGGGAAATGCATCCAAGGTATCTCCGAGCCTGTTTCATCTGATTGTTGAAGTTCTTGTTATGGTTAGAAGGCAAGATAGCCATTTGTCAGTCGCTGAAGTACATCTATTAATTAATGTATCTCGAGGCACACCCTGAGTGTGACATGACCATGCAACATGACTAGATGCATGTTGTCTGTGACAAAGGGACTGGTCATATGTATGACTGTATATATATATATATATATATGAACAAATAACAGAAGCACCATGTTTAATAATACAGGCAAATGCTTCCTCTTGTACATTAACCAATTCAATATGCTGGAGGTGAGATGGATGCATTAGAAAGCGCAGGCTTTTCTAGTCAAGTATTTGTGTAATACAAATAGCCCCATCTACCATGCAGTGGATGTATCTTATCATGAAGGCTTGTTGTGTACTTGTTTGTTCCAGCACCCACTCTTGGTTGACCACTTTCCAGACACTTAAGAATGATGATGATTTCTCCAGGCATTTAACAATTTGCGGAGTAGCAGATACTGTGTAGGTGGAAGAAGAGGAATAACAACCAACAGTTTTCACTCATTGTATGGGCAAGTTAGTTCATGCAGTGTAGTACAGTTGAAATAGACCTTTGATGACAGAATAGGTACTTCATTCACTGGACAAAAAGAAAAAGACCAAACTGACCAGATGAGAATCTGACAAATAGGTAGAGTGACATGGACCAGGAACAGAGACAGTAGACACTCTGAGAAAAGAGAAGAAAATAGAAAGGGGAAGAGTTTGAACGTGAAGACAAGAAGCTTAAATTGGATATCAATAAAATCAAGGAAAAAGAATTACAAAATCAAACCAAAAGACAAGAAAAACAGGCTTATAGCAGTATTTTTAATGTTTAAAGGAGACTTCATGTGACATGTTATGACCTAGATGTTAGTATCACCACTGCAGTTGGCAAGACAGTTAATACACCCTCATTGTTTACTCTCTAATTGTTTCCTGTACTGGAAGGATGCCATTAGCTGTGAGGGAGTTTCCTTTTTCTGTGTGGCTATGTTCTGTCTGCTTAGCCTAGCATCTACTGGGTTTAGAATTTTATGCCAAACATTTCACATGGGAAAAAAGCTAAATTAAAACAAGAAAAGTACAATCATATGGTGGAATGATCCCCATCAGTCCTACTTACATCAAAAAGGCTTATGCTAAACAAGACATGAATCATGTTAGTCAGTTGTGTGGGCAGTTATGTGACTACATTTTCAATGAGAAGTTTAAGTAGATTTTATGCTGTAGAACATTGGGCTAAGTTAATCTTAAATAATTCTGCTCTGTCTTTTAAAAATAGTATGTTCTCTGAAATATTCCTCGTTTTATGGAGTTCAGCAAATTTTTTTCTTTCGATGTTTGTGACTCTCTTCTGAAATCCTTAGAGTTTATTTAGATCCGACTGGGAATGTTGAGTACTCAGAATAATATTCCTAGTATTCCTAGAACTACATTATTCCTATTTGAAGACACAGGGCTTCTTTGAATGCTGCCTTAAACATCATGAAACGGTTTTCTAAGCTGTTATATATTGAACTGCTGTCAGATTTGCAGTATCTCTCCCTTCAGTTTCATGTTCATTCTTGTTTTGCAGCTTTCTCCCTCAGATTGTTTTCCCACTAAATGTGCTAACTGCCATTTTTCCTGTTTGAGTCTTGTGATGCTGATGAGTCAAAGTCTCAGTCTAAGTAAAACAGAACAACCATCCTAAAAGCAGTAGTCTGTGCTGATTTATACTAGCTGAAATTTTGTCTCCATGTTTCTGATCCTGTCACTATTATTAGAATTATGGTAATGCCCAGATGTATTAACTGTCTTTCTAATACAATGATATAGCCCAATCCTTGCCCCAGAGAGCTATCAGTACCAAGAGAGAGATAAAGGAGAAGGCACCAAGTCAATTGATTTTAGTGTATTTTATCCTTGCTCTGAAGAATTTACTAAGGAGGACATGCATCAGGACAGTCTATGCATACCTTGAGTTTGCTCTTCTTTAAATTTCCTAATGACCCCAAGATGCTCCTCTTACTGCAGTTTAACACAATGGTAGTTAATAGTACATTTCAAGTCTGTTCTTTATCGTCACTCTGTGAATTTTCAACTCCACTGATTGTTCCATTCAAACTGATTTAACTGAATGCATTAATATGTATTCAAAAGAATTTTCACTAAACCATTTGTATGACTGGAAAGGTCTTCCAAGCTTATTAATTCTCTGTATTTTTGCAATGTTATCTGAAACACAGTTGCTTTTCTAAAAGTGGTGGGGTTTATTTTGTTGGGTTTACTTTACTTTTCTTTTTTTAACTTAAATCCTTGTTATTGTTTATTGCTTATAAACATCTCAGTTTCCAGCACCAGTGATTTGGAACTAGCTGCATGTATCTTTATGCAGTACATGTGTGTTAGCATCTGTCTGTCAGTTCTCATACACTGCTGAGTCTTGTCTTTTTCAGACTTGCTGATCCAATTGAAAGTGAATGACTACGGGATAGAAATCTCAAAGCTATGTTTCATACAAATTTCATTAAAATAAAGAGCTGTATATCTGGGAAGGGGATTAAACTACTGTTCCCATTAAGGCAAAGGCTGCAGCATGAGACCATTCCTAATTAGACAGCACAAAATCAACACAAGAATGCCCCAGACCCATGAAGGGAGGCATAATTTGGGGTATGCTTTGTATTAGATACTGTAAGACAGATTCTCAGGAAATGGGCTTCATTACCTCCTGCTCACACAATGAACATGTTTTTGCTTGCAACATTTGCTCCATTACTGCGCTAGGGATGGGTGTTAGATACAGGAATAGTAAGTGCCAGGAACATTCTTTCTGTTTTTGAAGATCATTAATATATCTGCTTTTCTTCAAAGTGCTACAGTACCTTTCTGCTTTTAATCACTAACAGCCCAAGCTTAGCTGCTGCTGGCTAATACTCTTAGATGTGCATCTTCCTTACTGACAAGCTCTACATGTTGAGATTTTCTAATTAGAAACTACTCTTTTTTGTACAACTAACACTTTGTGTATGGTATCCATGTGTAGATGTGGAAGCAAGGAGAGGTGTGGTCTAATGAAGCAAATATGGTTTTGGAAGTTAGGATCTTTTCACAGCTTTTCAAACATTTCAACCTAACTTTTCATATTGCTCAGTCTGTGGGTTAGGGAAAAGCACTTTCTCTGTCAGTGCTAACATTCTTCATGGGCAAGACAGGGTTAATGCTGTCCTACCTCCCCGATGAATTGTGCAAGAGAATTAACTCACTAATGCTTTAGAGGATTTTTAGCTAAAAAGTCTCATAGCTTTCTTACTATTTTTCATATTTGCAGCCCTAAGAACTTGTTAGGGTAGTGAATGTGTCCTTGACATCAAGTTAAATCTGCCAGCTTGCAACGTGTGATTGAAAGATTTTACTTGCAGCAGCAATAGCTGTAGAGTGCTGCCTGCTTCAGGACTGTGTCTGTCAGGGCTAGGCTAGGCTAGGCTTCTGCTCTCCCTAGACCCTTAGCCTTCAGAATCCTGAGTAATGAGGTTTGTCTCCTATTTTTTGGATGTGCTGAATTCTCTTCCCAACCCTTCCTTTGTGTGGCCAGGCTCTGCTCTCCCCAGCTGCCCTCTTTATTTGCACAGTGGCTTCTCCTGATTTCCTGTCCTGTCCCCATGGAGTTCACAGCAGGGCAGTATACTTTGTAGCTGAATCCAGAAGCCATGGTCCATGTCAGCTTCCAGTCTCCCCATCCTTGCCTGGAAGACAGCCAGAATCTCGGGACAGTGTAGAGACAAAGGCCTTTTTGGAAGTCTGTTACCCCGTGAAAAACATCCATGACCTTTCTTAAGGCAGATTTGAGCCCAGCTTTTGCTGATCAGACTTTGTTAGAGCATCCATGCTTGCTATTTCTTCAGAGTCGTGGATCTCCTTGCCACTGCATATTAACGCAGGGAAGGGGTTATGACTGTATACTTTGTTGACTCCAGGATCTTAGTGATTTTAATAACGTTAAAGAAAAAGAACTTACAGGGAAGATGCATAATACCAAACAGCACAGTGAGATGTCATCCCTGAGGAAGAAGTGGGAGCAGTGACTTGAGGGTTTCCATCCCAAGCTCATGATGTGTCAGGCTCTGAGATGCAAGAGTAAACCAAGTTCCATTTTAGTTTATTTTGCTGGGGGGAAGTGGGGTGTGACTGCTATTTTCCAGACTTCTGCACTTGTACTAGCTACTTAATTCGAAATCTGAAAGCTGCAATCAAGGTAGAGCTTCAGGGAAGGGAGAGGTTAAGGAAGGTTGAGCCCAAGGGCATCTTGTCAGTGAGCTCTAGTTAGGAAACAGGCCTGTTTTGGCTTCTGCACTTCCTTTTCTCCCTAGAGCTCTGCCTGTCAGAAACGCCTTCCCACACTCCACTGCCCTGCCATTTGCCAGAGAATTGCGGGGGAGAGGGGCTTTTCCTGTCTGTGTGCTGAGACTCAGCCAACTCTCAGACTGTGGTTTTCGCTGGAGCCCGGAGCCCACTCGCTGTGGCTTTGTGTATTTTCCACCAGAGAAGAAACTGAGCACAAACTCAGTGAAGGGCACTGCTCCCGGGGTCACACTGAGGTAACTGGCCAGGGCTCAGCTATTCCCCTCATCTCCTATCGCTGACCTCTAGCTGCCAAACTACAAGGTTATGGTATTGCTTCTGTGCTGGGAATCTGACTGACTTCGAGGAAAGACAAGGCAGAACTCCCAGCAGGTTGCTCCTTTCTGAAGAGAGTTTAGCAGTCTGCAGAGCTGCCGTAGGGAAACATTCTCCACTCCCTGCTTTGCCAGTCCACAGCTCAGTTCTCCAGTGTGTCATAACATGCAAGTTCTTTTGTCCCCTGTGTCAAATCTCCAATATTACTCTCCCACGTGCTGTAGAATAGAAATATTTTTTGTCCCCTGATATTACTGGAGATTTCTCTTTTTGTCAGAAGTGGACCTAAAGTCTCTTTTTCAGAAGAAAGTACTCTAGAGCCTTTCTGTTGTTCGAAGTATAGGGTTAGACCAAATAACTGACATTGTAACATCTACCCTATAACCTTTTTCTTTCCTAGAATTGTATCTCAGTCCCACCTCCCACATAAAGAGTAATTTAGCAAGATAAATGCAGAAAGTCAGTCAACACAATGAAAGCTTTACTTCTTTGTGGGTGGAAGCCCACTGCAAGGTTAGATTGAGGATTGGACCTCATGTTTTTTAATCCAGAATAATATAATTCTGTGGCAGTAATAAGGTTGTCTGCCTTCCTAGAAGGTAGTCCCAGCTTCCAAAGGCATAAAATTCAGCTCTAAAAACTACTTTACTGATTTGACCACTTAACTCTTCTTTTTATGCGTGGGACTCTCACTGGAGCCCTGGGAGAGTCCCATGCCTTCACCAGACAGATGTTATCCCCCACAAAAACGTCACCCACCTCCATCAGCATTCTCAGCAATGTTCACAGAGGTAATCACCAATTACTATGTTTTGTTTTGTTTTGTTTTTTTACCCAGGCTCTCTTTGCCAACTACTCACAATCCAGCACCAGCCATATGTCCATGCCAGCTGGCTCTGATGCCCACAAGACATCAAGTGCCACTTGTAGTATCCAAAAGGCAGCCAGTTTGCACAAAGTGATGCCATCCCAGAGTACACCTCCTCAGCTGGTTCCAAAGCCTCCAACAAACCACAGACAGGCAGTGATCAGAAAGGCTGCAGCCCAGAGGATTTCCAAGTAAGTTTTATCTCTTCCATCCACAATAGGGAGTTGGCACTGGTTTCCCAAAAATAAATATCGGAGAAGAACCTGTCTCCATCTGACTTTGACCGATGTCTGCTGTGCTGTCCGAGATAGATCTCTCTTGAGGTGTGTGTACTGAAATCCTTGTGCATTATGTTGCAGTTTTGTATTTCACAATGGTAAGGAAGGTAAAACTGTAATACAAACATAAGAACATAGGAACTTCCAGACTGATTCCAGGGTAGGACTCAGTAACCTAAATGCAGGTTGCTAGTTACATTCTAGATGCATAGGGCTATTCCAGCTGACCTCCAGCTGCTGTTCCAGATGAGTACAGGTCTTCTGTAGATCTTGTGTTGCATCTGCCAGTCTCATGCAGATGTCTCAAATAGCTTTAGAGTATGAAGTGTGGTACTAGACATCTGTGTTTAGGCACTTGAGTTGCTCCATGTTTAATCTTTGATGGGGGCTAGAATCTGATGTGTCAGAAGAGGGTACCAAAAAAACCTGCAAAACAAATTAACAAAGCAATCCAATATCTTTAACAAGCTAATCTACCCTTGAACCAAGTTTTCCCATAAATGTAACATACAATGTTTGACTTAGGTCTTCAAGCACAAGTGTTTATTTCATTTAAAGTGTTTATATTGTGCCTGATGTAATGATAGCTTTCCTCATTATCTGTAGAAATCCTTCTTTTAACTTTTAGTAAGCTTTTAGTTATATAGTGCTTGCTATTCTAAGTTAGATGGATGGATTTGGCATGTGTTACCTTTAAAAACAAACAAAAATATTCCCCATGAAATGTTGCTAATTGACTGTAAGTTTTCTTCCTTTCCATTTCTTTGTGTGTCTTCTCTTTTGTGCATTATGAGAAAATGTGAGCAAGACTTCTGGGTTTTCAGCTTCCTCAGTTCTTTGTTTATCTCCCCTTAAATGACAGAATTGCTTTAGACTAAGTCCTTCATTAGATTCTTCCTCATCTATCCTCAGACTTATTTCATTCTAAAAAATTGCATTCATAACTTCCTCCCTTGTACTTACTCTACAGCCAGCAGAGCTGTAAAGCTTTCAGAGCAAGTTCCTGTGAGGTTTCCTGAATCTCAGTTCCCTTCCTGTTTAAAGAGAGAAGTTTTACTTAGTAAAAGATTACTAATGAAAGACACCTTATGAAGATGCTAGGGCACAGTCAGTGTGTGTGGATCAAATTTGAAATGGCAAAGCATATTTAAGGAACTTGAACAGAGCTGCTTTGAGGAAGTTCTTGTATTTCCTGCCTGTACTCTTGCCATCTTAGGAGATAGCACACTGAATTAATCCCCCAAATCTATTTAAAAGGAAAACAAGGTGTTAATGAACTTTGTCAACTCAGCAAATGATGTGATCATCAGGTCTGGCAGGTATATGCTGGTAGGTTTGCTATCTGATTTCTTTTATGTTGGGTAGCTCATGTTAGTACAGGTGACAGACTATGTCAGTGGGTTTCTCTGCTGGGCAGCTGGGATGTGTATTTGAAGATGCCGGTGTGCTGTGCTCACTTCTTGGCAGAGGAAATGTTTATCCTTGTGAGATGGAATTGCAGCTCCTTGGACAGACTTTACTTTGCTGCATTTTTGTGGTTTCTGCTCTGTGACAGGCAGGAGTGTGGGAAAACCGGAAAAAGTTCAGCACCAAAAATGCACAGAAGGGAGGAAAAAAAGCAAAAGATTCCTTCAGAATTTCAGAAAACTAATCCAAGTATCGAAGGCTGCAAGGAGCCACTCCGGAAATACTTTCCAAGTTGCCTTTCAGTCTCCAACACAAGGCTCGAAACCCATTCTTGCCATTCATGGGATCTTACAGTAACATTTTTTCACTTACATGGAATACAGCAGTGCCCAGCTATATTTCCAGCATATATTTCTGGCTGGTCGTTTAAAAGCTGCTATGTCTCAGGCCAGTTTAATCCATTCATTGTTGTCAGGAAAAGACCAGATATGCATCATCGGGGGGGTGAATGGAGAGAAGCCTCTGTGTCAAAAGAATATAGATTAGAGAAGAAAAAGATGTTTTGCATGCTCCAGCCTGTTTTCTGCAGTCCCTGATTATTTTGTACAAAGTATTCTTGGACACCATGTGTAGTCTACTTTCAAAAAAGTCCAGTGGTAGAAACTCCACTGTGTGCTATAACAGCCTATTTAAGAATCTAGACAAGCTTATTATCAGCTAGTTTCTCCTGATGTGCTCTCTGAATTTTTCCTTTGTTTCATCCTGTTGTATCTTGTTCCTCCTTCCTGAACCACCCTGAACACTTTCCCTTATGAATACTCTCCATCTTTTGAATATCCTTCTATTTCTTGGAGTAACCTAATGTTGCTTAGACTTGTTGAGGTTTTGTTCACCTCAGATAGTAGTTCCACCTGCCAAGTCCTTAGTTGTCTTAAATGTACTGTATTTTCTTCAGTTTATCAGAGTGCTTGCATTGTGGCACTCAGAATTGTACTTTTCCAGTGTGGGACTGCCATATCCTTAGGTTATGACATAGCAAATATCCCTCTCTGTAACATCTTTTTGGCTGCTTCATTTGTCTGTCTGGTCACTTTTCATTTGCTGCCCTCTCTCACCCCCTGATAATTCTTGGCTATTTTCCTGATCTCTTTCCTGAAAGAGGATCTTAGTGCTATGTATTATTTCCACGAGACTCACTGAAACTAATCCCATTCTATTGTTAAAGCTCTCGCATCTCTTCTTTTCCCCCCATATGTTTCAGTAAGTTAGACCTTATTTGTGTCTGCTCTCACATTGCCTGGCTTTTGTTTAACATCTTAATAAAGATCATCTTTTTAAAGTTGTTTGTAGAATTTCTCCAGAGGCTGGACTGTGAACACAAACTAAAATCAACTTTGTCTCTTTGACCTATCTCCTCCTTGCATGCATTATCAATTCTCTCCCAGCCAGCACACATGGCTTCCAGAAGAGGAAGAAATAAGTAGAAAACGCAACTATAAACAGAATGAGATGCTAAAGATGAACATTACTGACTAATTCAAAAACTATCTAGTAACTTGGACACTTCCCTGGTTGAAACATAAAGGAAAAAAGTAATGGAACAGCCAGACAATTCCATCTTGTCTTTTCAGTTCCTGGCCTCTCTTGTTTTCTTAGTCTCTCAACTTGTAAAAGGTGGTAGGTGGACTTTATAATGGATTGTGTCCAAAGCAGACTCCTTGCTTGAACTAACAGAGTGGAAAACTGGGGCCCATATTAAGGTGCAGAAAAAGGACTAACTGGGAGAAATGGTTTAAATATGCAGCTCTATGCTGAAATGCAGTCCCATAAAATGGTCTCATGGGGCTCCATAGTTTTGATTAAATGTCCTCATATCACAAGTAGAAAGACAGTTTTTGGACAGCTAGCACAACAAGCTCTTCTTTCTTTCCAAGAGCCAGGCTGTGACCTTTCCCCACTGCTCACTGCTCAGACCTACTATTGGCAGGTCTGTGAACCGTGAAGAGACTGCTGATAGCTGAGAGCAACATTTTGGGACAGATCATAGATATAGTATTCATAAGCCATGGAATGAAGCAGATGTTCCTGGAAGCAGCATCTGATGTATGGAATCTTCATATTACTAATGACAGCATGCAAAATAGAAAAATATATTAGCTCAACTGTCAGAACCCAGAGTGAACTGGTACAGATGGTAGACAAAAAATCTTTCTGCTTTTAGAATGACTAAGTCATAGTAAATACAGATTTCTGCACTAGTAACTTTTCAGAAACCTGCTCTGTAACTGTGACAGCATCAGGTAGAGCGAGGCTTTGAAGAACCTGTGAACAGAAGTATTAGTCAAAGACAAGATGTCATAAAAATTCATCTGTCAATTTTATACCACTGTATATAAAAAGAGGAAATGCTATGTAGAGAAAAGGAGCATATAGTTCAAGATGTTATCAAGGAAAGAGAGACCAAGAAGGTCACCAAGTTTATCAGCAGTAGGCTGAAACATCACAAACTGTTGGGGACATTGATCAGCGTGGCGTAATTTCTTGTGCTGAACGTTGCTCTAAATGTCATTCATAACTCTATTCAGGAAGCCTTTTGAAACAAATATTCCCTTCAAGTCCCAACACCACAGCACAAAAATTTTTCTGCCTTGTTCTCCCTTGTATAATTGTTTTCCACTGTGCCAGCAGTAGAAGAGCCAAAGTTCTCCTATATTGTAACTAGTACAGAAATAGGGTAGAGGGGATGCATTTCTCCAGGGTTCAGGAAGTCCATCCCAGGGCAGGGTAGAGTCCTGATTGCAATTGGACACAGCAGTAGCCAGCTTTTCTAGGACAGGCTGGCCAAGCCTAGCAAATGTGCCAAAAGTAGATGATGGTCACAGAGTAAGCCCTGTAAAATACTATGGTTCTGGTTTATATCCTGTTTTGCCCATGCGTGCTCATTCACAGGCATGCGTGAAGTGTCTTAAGTGAGCCAGGTACATCACATATGTAAATGAGTGCCACTGAAAAGAGGACAGGCAGTGGGAGAACAAGCATGTAACTGTTACTGGAACCTTTTTACCTTTTGCTACTGCTGTACTGCGGCACGCTTGTTTTTTCAGCTCCTGAGTAGCTGGGTTAATCAGGCTGCCTGACCCTTAGACATTTTTGGCAGCAAAAGCAGTGCATCTGAGAGACATGCCTTGATTTAACACCCCGACACAGCTGGGCTTACTAGACCTGTAGCTCATAGCCCTTGGCTAGCCTCAGGTCATACACACAGATACACATGCAGGGATACCTTGTCCAAGAACAACAAAGAGGAAAAAGACTCCCTTGCCCTGGGACTTTACATCTGTTGCTATCCTCTTGTTAAACCTGGGATTTTTGTGATATGAATATGTTAGTGTCAATTCTGTCTGGTTCCACTGGATCTTTAAATGTGTTCAGAACATCCCAGGAATAGGTTGTTAAAACAAACGTCTTCAAAATTTAGTCAAAAAAGTATTTCTCTGTCACTTGTGGAACAAGTCCAAGGCTGAGCAGCTTAGGGCTGGTCTAGTGCCTAAATGAAGGAACTTTTTTAGTATCAAGGAGGGGTTAGCTGTATAAGAGACAGAAAAGGGCAGTGACAGATATTTAAATGGAGAGGACAGTGGGGAGAGTGCTTTTGTTAGTATTGAAGAAGGAGAAATGGAGAATATAACAATTGGAGAACTGGAAGCAAAAACAACACAGACATTAAAAAGCAGGAAACTGAGAAAGGCAGTTGGATTTCAGCCAACCCGAGGAGGAAGAAAGTGGAAAGGGATTAAGTCAGTTTAAGTGGTGAATATGTTCTGCCACTGAAGCTTCCATCAGGACACAACAGAAAATGTGAGGGATGAGATCCCAGGAGCAATGCTGAGAATGAGCTGTCTGGAGGTGGCAGTTGAAACTGCAAGAATCAAGGTACATTGTGAGTAGGCAGAGAAGAAGGGCAAGTCTGTAGAGAGAACATAAACCACACTTTAAGGTAGAAGTGTGACTGTTCTCTGTTTTGCTTTTGTGTTGTTATACTTGCTGGCATTCTTGATGACATTTTCAACCACTAGTCTTGCATTCTACCGACAGAAGGGTGAGCTGAATTTGACTGTCAGTTGTGCTGTGTTAACGAAGTGGACTAGCTCATTGTATGCATGGAATCTCTATGTAAGAAGGATAAAGATCCATCTGGATTCTTAGCTCCTACAAGGATTGTGCAGTATCAGCGCAAAAGACACGATAAATACAGATCCAAACTTCTCTCCAAGAGACAATAAACATAGAAACAGGCCCTTCATTTGACAATAGCATTTGCAATTAAGGCTGACTGAAGTAAGGGGTTGTGTTACACAAATGTATCTGCATCCTCCCCCTTCCTGTATGGACTCCAATTTGTTTCACTGAAATCCTGCTGTGATAAAATATAGGAGTCCCTCACAGGCCTTTTAGCTGTCAGGAACACCTGGATTACTTGCTGACCTTGAAATCTGAAAACAAAAGGTTTCAGATAAAACCATAGAAACTGCACAGGTGTGTCTGGGTCTGTTAGTTGTCAGGGCATCACATGGGGATTGGAGATGACAGTGCTTTTTTGGGGAAGAGCTGACAGTAACTGTAACACTGCAAAGCTGAAGGAGTGAAGGAGAAGGACTCTGGTAGAGATGAGTGTACACGCAGAAGTCTGCGGTGATCAGAATTGAGTTGGGCAGGAGGAAAGAAAGGCAAGGAGGAATAAGGGAGGAGAGGACAAACCAGGAATAGGTGAATAATTGTATAGATTATAAGGACGGAATAGATCCTTGCAGCTGTATAGCTTACCCTTCCATTTTGAGTAGACCCAGTTTTATGTAGGAAGATGTGGTCTCAGTTTGGTAACGAATCTTTGTAAGTTAAAGGAAGTGCAGTTGTAGCCCACAGGATATACTTTTGCTGTAAGTCAGATGCTAAGATCAATGCAGGAGGATTTGCATTGAGGAATGCTTGAGGAATGGCATTGGACTACTGGAAATTGTATGGATCCCAGGGGTCCCAGTTTCCAAGATAAGTAAGAAACCTTGCCTAGATGAGTTCTCTCTGCTGAGGCAAGATGCAAGGACTTAACTTTGGATTTAGCATGTTTTTGACAGCATATGCATTTCTGCTTGAAGGTTAGTTAATCACTTTAGTTCAAATCACTGGAATAAGAAGACCACAGCATTACTTGTTGTAATTACAAGTAGTACCTTGGTGGTACCTTTTACTATGGTCTTTATTCTCCAGAATCAGCTTCCAAGGCACGAGACAATTAAGTGTTTTAATCACATGGAAGTCTTGCTAGTGGCTTGAGTGTTCATCTGTCTTGCTCTATCTTTTTGGATTCAGTTGCTGTCTCTGCCTTTTTCATACCGTGTTCAGACACAGCTTCATAGTTACAATCCCAGTGAGATGATGTAAACTGGGAGAATTCTCAATTTTTTGTTTGAGTTTCATTCCTCCTTGATATATCACTTCTTATCACTGTCTAATTTGATGCTTTTACCTCTTAGGGTGACCTCCACTGAAAAGAAACTGAATGGATTCCAGAACAGCCTTCACAGTGCTGCATCCCGTGAGCCAGGGACAAATTCCACAGGTGAGTGCCAGTGCCAAAGACCAGGAAAGTGGGGGTGGGCATGCTGGGATGCTTTAATCTTTTTCAAGAACTGGTGGGGAAAAAACTTTCCCAGCAAGAAGAAACAGCTGCTTCCTCTGCATGTAGTGGTTCCTAGGTAACAATCTGGGTTCAGCTGTGCAGGGAATTTATTCTTCCTGGGTTTAAAAAAGATTAAACAGGAGGGAGCAAAGGCTGAGTTTCATAGAGTTGGAAGAGGAAGACTCCTTAAAATGTGGCTGGGGGGCAAAAAAGCACCTTGGCTAAAATGGCTCCTCTTTGCTCTAGGCTTTGGCTCAAGATACTCTGTTGTTTAAGCTTGGCCTGTAATATAGGGCTGGAACATTCTTTACATTTTTCTTCACTGTTGCAGAAAAGCCCCTGAGTTCAGAAAGACATAGCTGAGACTTGTGAGTCAGCTGCATAGAGAAGTCAATCAGTAGAGGTGAAAGTTCCCAAAGGAAAATCAGAGACTTACAGAATCAAATCTTCATTGTTCCCTAATGGCTACTTAATTCAAACAGGTTTATATGCTGTTAAGTTCTCAGCAAATGAGGACCCAAATCCATTTTTCATGGATGCAGACCTGTTGGCAGGTCGAATGTAGTCTTGAGGAACCCATATTATCCACGGCCCACAGTAATTTGCGATAGTGCTGTAATGGAATATACGGACAAATTATGCTCTAGAATGCTTTGAAAAATTGTATTTCCGACCTTTTGTTTTGCTGTGAAACCCTGAAAATATGACTTGAGTATCACTAATGCAGTGATCTGTGTGTTTTCATAGGCTGAAAGAAAAGGTTGCATAGGGGTGAACTACCCAGTTCATCTCTTCGATATTTATCTCTGAAATTTAAAGATGACATTTTCATTATTAATGTTGGTGATTTTATTGCTGATCCTTTAGCTAATGCACTTAATGTACAGTTCCAAACTGCCTCCCACACTTTACCACCTGCCAAAAATTCCTACCAGAAATTTTATAGGGTGAATAGCCTTAGTCAGTAAAAAAGACCCTACAGCACATTGGAACGTGACAATGTATTCTGGCATATGATGGGATTATCAAAATAAACAAAATTATGTCAACATAATTATGTCAACAAAATTATGTGTAGCTGAGGCAGAAGTTCTGGTCTACTATATAGTTCAAGTTAAGTTTTTAGTACAGATATTAAGTAAGGTTACAGACAAACTTGCAAGTAAATGTAAAAATGGAGTTCTCAATATATTGAAGAAACTTGTTTGTTTAGTGGACTTAGAGAAAGGTGTTTGTGTGCTGAATTCTGCCTTCTTTTTCACACTTCAAAGGGCACTGTCACAGTTGTCCCGCTGTAATTTTAACTTTTGCAAGAGAATCTTTACATCTTCTCTGGGTACTGTTGTTGTTATGTGTCCATGATAACTATAGGTAGCATTTTGCTGTCCTTTCCCATTTCTATGAGTATTTATTCAGCGCATGCATGAGGATTGTTGATTGTATTAATGCTGGAAGGCAACAGTCAGAGCTGGAGAAAGAATATAGGCTAGATAAGAACTACAAAGTTCAGGGTAGTCACCTTCTCTGTGAATACTCTTAATCCAGTGAGAACTGAGAACTTCAACTCATGTTTCCTCCTGTAGGACTAGACTGGCTGCACTGTACTAAACTTATCTTCTCTGAAGCTCAAACAAAGGGTTTAGCCTGCCATGTAGCTAAGAGTGTCAGGGCTTACATAAAGCTCTAGTTTGGTTAGGGGTAGGCTAGCAGCACCATAGTGAATGGGTCACTCAAAGCCTCCTTGTTGCTAGAAGAGGTATATAGCTCCACAAACAGTGCTAAGCGTTTCGATGATGAAACTAACTATAGCAGAATGTTTGTTCTTGGAAACTGGGGAATGATATTTTCTTCTGCTTTGCACCATGCCACTGGTATGCGTCAGAGGCTTTGGTGCCCAGTTTGTGTGTCTCAGAAACTACTCTGGTCCTTGCTGTAGGAACATCTGGTTTTCTTCTTCACTCTCTCCATTGATTGCTTACTCTAGAGCCCCAATTTCCCCTCAGCAACAGCTTATTTGGGGTTATGTTTCACATATATTTAGTATCCTAAATACCAACTAGAGAGGTTGGACACACAAATCATAAACTGCAAGCATTTAAAGATAGAAGGCTCTGAAAAGTTGCAGAGATAAAAGAGGAACCAGGCAGAACCTCTGTATAAACACACAAACAAATACTCAAAAATGTCTGAGAAGCTTGGATAGGCCTTCTTCTCTAACAGCCTTTCTGAGAATAGTTATGGGCCTCTGTGGAGAAGCAGCATGAAGGTGTCATAAGTCATCTAACCAGAAGTCAGGATGATGCTCAGTGGAAGAGAGAGTCAGGCAGTATGGAAACTTTTAACCAGATTATCCAAAAAACAGTTCACTGGTGGTTAGTGCTGCCAACTGCAGAATAGCAGTTGTAGACACTTGTGCAGTGGGCTCAGTCTCTTGAGGACAGATCCTTTGACATAAAAGGGAGAGTAAAAGTCAACGTTTCTGCAAAGCAGCTCAGGATTCTGAAACAAGCCACCGCTAGAAGACAGTGTGGCAGCCTCTGATTCCTAGGGCCTCATCTACATTTAATGAGGAGGCAGAAGTTGTGTGAGCTATGTGCCATTGATGTAATGATAGAGAAGGCAGAGATCCTCATTACTATCTACAGACAGGAAGCTAAATCTGCAAGATATCATTGGGGTGTTATTTGTAGTGTCTGAACAGACAGTTTCTTATCAAAATTCCTGAAAGTTTAACAGGACTTATTCTATTAAAGAAATACCAAGAATCACTAGCTCTAGGGAGCATTCAAAATGCATCTAACATGATTTTTCACTGAAGTTGAAAATTCAGCCACTGGTGGGTTGTCAGTCTTTCTGAAAATACAGCCATAATCGCATTACTTTTTTTATTCTGTGTTAATTTGAGGGTCCCTCAGCATTACACTGAATGTTTCCTGCTTCACAGAATTTAGCAATTCAATTAGTATTATTGAAATAGGGTGATTGTGAAGTAAGAAATCAGTTCTCTTCTCCAAGTCTTCTTCAGAATATAACTTGCTGAGTAACAGCTAAGCTAAGTGCTGTGGTGGGTTGTTCAGTTCCAGGTTGTCTTTAGGAGGCTGTGCTTGATATGATGAGTTCAGATGATGGTCAGACTTGTCATTTTTTGTTTATATATTAAAAATGTAAGGTGTATGGAGACATTTTTTTGTGTTTTGCTGCTTTATTTTCTGTTTCTCTCTAGTGCCATTAGGTGAATAATGTGGGAATTCATTTTCTCAAAATAGTGAAGATCTAGGTGAAAAAGATATAATTTTTCCACTAGAATTTTCCAGTTTGAACAATTGGAAAGTAATGCCAAGGAATGTGTGGCTATATGTAGGACCTCACAGTTAGGAATTAATTATATTTATTATTTTTCCTTTTTGAAAATGCTAACACAAAGCAGGTTTTAGGGAAAATAGAGCATGAAGAGCACTTCACAGAAATGTAACCGCAGCTTCTCTGTTCCTGAGCTGTACTCTTCTCTGCAAGAGCCTGCAGACAGGAACAATCTGGAAGTATGGATAACCCCTCCGTGTAGTTGTGGAGTAGATGCACAAGTTGATTTTATTTGGTTTGAGGGTTTGATCCTTGTATGGGCCATTCACTTGATGATCCATGTGGGTCCCTTCCAACTCAAAATGCGATTCTCATTCTCATTTGCAAAGGTAACAGCAAATGTTGAGTTACTGTATGAGTGAAATCTATGTTTTGTCTTTAGGCTTTTCCCCTTCATTTCCTGACAGCTTCTTGAGAGTTTGTGAAATTTTTATTTTAAAACTTCAGAACACAGAATGCTTCTGGGGTTCTGTTTTGATATGGTAAAACCATAATCCACTAATACCCTATCTAATAACAAAAAAATATGAATCATGATTAAAACTAGGCAAGACTGATGCCTGACTCCAAACTTGATAGGACTTTCACCTTGTTATACTCAGACTGATTAACAGTGATGCAGTTTTATTGTGCTAATGCTTACCTTACTAGTGACCACATGACTTTTCCACTGTGTGTGCTGGGAGGAGAGAAAAAACATTAGAATTACTGATTAGGGGAGGTAAAAATTGGTAATGTGCATTTTGAGTTTGACAGCCGTGAAGACCAATAATTCATGGAAAGTCTTGGATCTCTGCATAGTCTGGTTTAAAACATGAGTCCAAAACTAATTTATTTATGTTTTAGTTCCCTTGAGAATACGTCATACAAGTGAATGTCAAAACTCAGTCTGAAACTAGAGAGGAAACTTCTTGAGCTATTTGGTATAGACTTGATTTTATTCCCTGTGATTCCTAGGTCTGTGTCTCAGCTTAGTTGCAGGGTGATGCACAGTTGTCTGTTTATTTTGGACATTCACCTGGCCTCCAAATCTGCATGAATGCCAAGTCCTGAAAATATGCAACTCTTTGAAATAAAGTGTATCATCATCTATAAGGACTTAAAACTGGATCCTGGACTACCAAGAGACTAGTTGAAGAATATGGGGATTAATAAGCTGGTTTGGATCTCCTCCATGCAGAAAGCAGGCTGCTGTTCTTTGTTTTCTAGTAATTTTCTTCTGTAGGCTAAGGTGGAGAGCAGTGTCTGAATGCCATCCAAGTATGAAGAATGAACAAGTGGTGTGGTCCAGTTTAGAGCAATGAATGGAGCCTGCTTGCAAACTAGTGACAGTAAGGAGCACTTTTGTACTTCCTCTTCTCACCATCTGGCATGCTCCAGATTTTTTTCATTTTACAGAAAATCTACAGGTAGACCGTGTATTTCTAAAATTTTTTATATTCAAGATTACTGTATGGTCCTTCAAAAGAAGGTCATGTTATTGTATGTCTGGTTCTGAAATTGGAGTTAACTCTGGTTGTGCTAAGCCTTGACTGGCTGTTGTCTACCCACTGCTTGAATTAACATCATGCCTTAAATGCAGCCTCTTTTATGTGAGCCTAAGGAAAAATAGAGATTGGTTTAGCAGGTATGCAAAAGTACAAGCTTTAAAATTGTTCTGAACCAGAAAAAAAAAGGCAAGTAAACACAGCAGGCATTTAAACAAGACATATATAATCACTTCATATTGTTTGCCAGATCTAAACAGAAAAAAAATGCCCGGAATTTGGAGATTCTTTTATCAGCCAATGTCTCTCAACTCTCTTGGATGACAAAGGGTAGGAATGGGATGGAATATGTACTGTTACCACTGTGCATGGCCTGTTTCAGACTCACAGCCATTTGTTGCACTGGAGTGGAATTCCCAGCTGCCCAGCCTTGTCCAGGCTTCCTCAGCTTCTGCCAGGTTTCCTGTAGTCTCAGAAGGCAATAGATTGTTGAACACCAGTGTATTTATTTTTACGTTGTTACCACATTCCCAAGAGGAACCTTGGCTATGATTTCAGCTGGTCTCACCACACTGTCCAAATCCTTCATCAGGAGCAGCTGGGAAAAGAAATCACTCAGGTTTCTGCACAGCACATTGCTGGTACGCCTCCTCCCTCTCACTAATCCTGTTAATTCCAGTCTTCATTTGCCACCCTCCTGGTTCTCTCTGTTGTTGCTGTGACTGACTGCACAAGTGGTCTTCACTTTAAAAGGTGACCTTCAAATGGGCACCTCAAGTAACCTCGACCTCAGACTACTTGGGCATCTCCAGCACAAGATATTTTATGACACAGAACAACTTTTGATATCACCTCATTACTTACCCTAATCCAGGAATGGAGTAATGATGAGCTCTTCCACATAAATCCTCCCAGACACACCTATCTGGCTGAGAAGCTCTAGGTGGGTCACTGAAGAGGGAACTCCAGTGTCATATCCAGCACTTTGCATTGTATTTTTCCAGTGCGGCCTCTCGCCCTGCAGCCTTTTGTTAACAGTTAACATTCTGTCAGCATCTCTCTGTAGTGCTGTCTCCATGCAGAGAAAGGATTATTGAGAAACAGAATTGGTTCATTTTATCATATTTTGGAAAGCAGTGGAGCTTGAGTTGAATCCTACTGTTGTGCCTCCCTTTATGGGAGGGCAAAGAATCAGTCACAATGAAAGGATATTTAGTTTCATATTTGTTCTAATAATTATCTTCCTAAATCCATTGTTCTTTCATGCATCACCAAAACATCCTGGATCGTCTCTCTCTTACCCATATTGACTTCCACAGTTTTATAAAGGGGGCAAAGAGGAAGGGGAAAAAATAGTTCCTCTCCCTGCTTTAGTTGTTGCATCAGTCCCAGGTCAGATAATGACACACAAGCCTGTAGTACCAGATGGACCAGAAAGGAAAGGATGAGGGTTAAAAAAGACCTTCTTCTTACCCCATTTCTTAATACTCTTTGAAGGGGCAGGGAACATTACCTTATCACTAGCAATGAGCAAATATTGATATTTCTAATCAGTACCTTTAAAATAGATAGAAGTCATCAACAGGACATGACTATGTTTGAATTTATCCAGTTATGAAAAAACTGTATGTAAGTCTCATTAAATCTCAGCAGAGTGTAAAGTGCTGCCAGAAGCAGCATTCCAGGCCCTTCTCAGATGATGTTAAGAAGACAATGTCCAACTCAGCCATGGCCTCTCAGGTAGATCTGAGGGTCAGTGTTCACTTCTAGTGATCAGAAATTACATTTATTCCTTAACCTGTGAGAGCAGCCTGCCTCTCACACCTTTACTCACCCTTTTGGCTTTCTTTTATGAAAGGAAGGAGCTTTTCCTGTTGCTACTGATCTCATGCCACTGAAAGGACATTCCAAGTGTCAGGACTTCTCCTGGGAAAGCAGGAGGAAAAGGAAAGAACAGTCTCTAGAAATTGGCTTTCCTGTTTAAGAACTAGAACCCAGCTTGAATTTTAGGAGCCTTCACTTCTGACAGACTCAAAGAAAACTCTGAAGCAGGATAAGTAATGACTTCAGGCAATTGGCATTTTTGCCTGACTGGCAGCTGATCATTGCTTGTTCTCAGTAGTGAGGTGGTGACAAACTGCCTGTATTTTCTTGCTGTGTTGGAAATGTCATTCAAGATCAGGTGTGCAAAGACTGGGGAGAGGTTATATAATATCTTGGCTACTTCTGTCTCACATCTGGCCCTTTGGCATTAAGCTACCTATAGAGAGGATGATTTCGCCCATCCAAATTGGATTTTGTTTTAATCTGGCATTATTTTATTGAGAACTAAAAATAGAAGCCAAAATGGGTGTGAATAGGGTAAAAGGAGTGTGAAATTATGAAATGAAACATGGGGAAGAGCCAGAGAAGAGAGAGCCACAAAAAACTGGGGAGTAAGGAGGTGAATGAGAGATATTAGAATGAAGGCTGTCAAGTACAGAAGGGCATTAGCAGTCAGGGTGTGTATGTGTTAAAGACACAGTCTCTTTAAAATGGGAAGCAGGAAGGCTCATGCTGATTTCCACTGCTATTTCTCTCTTGTGAATGAGTCTGCTTGCTGCTCTTTTTGTGCAGGAAGACTTCACTGGAATACAGTTGTTTATACTGTTTGTGACAGTTGCGTGTACTGTCTGTGTCACACACGTACATCACACTCCCCACGCACACACACACCCTCCCCACCTCCCACGCCCCCAAGAAAATTTTCATGACTTGGACTTGGTGCTTTCTCTGGCCTGCCTGGTCCAGCAAGGCAGGTTGAAATTGTGCCCAAAATATGGGGGAGGGAGGGCTGTCTTTCTGTTTTCAGCTGTCCTTGCTTGCTAGTGTCAGTCAGCCGTGGATATAAATAAACCCCATTTATTTATTGCCTTTCTTAGTTGCACTGTATATTATCAAGAGAATGCTGAGCATCACTCGGATTAGAAATTCCCTCTGCTCTGGGATAAAAAAAAAATCTGAACTTCTAGGATAATCCTAGCTTTTCAGGGAGAAAGAAAGTTCCTGCTTTCAACACTAGATTCATGAGACTTCAACATGCTTCTCAGTTCTGCCGCAAACTTTCTGTAGATATGATGAAACAGCCCAAACTAGCTCTAAAAAATATTAGCATGGGTCCCTGACCCAGTACTGTCATCTAGCCTAGTGCTCTTCTCTGCTCTGTCTCATTCCTGCAGCTTGGAAGCACAGTAGATTAGGTGCTGGTGTGTGACCAAGGCTGTGTACATCTCTGCTGGGAAAGTCTATATGGCACTGAATTTTAGTGTGCAGGCATCTCTTAAATGACTTTACAGAACTCCTGTGATTTCCTTGTAACTCAGAACATATCCATAAAATGGAGGTAATCCTTTTCTTCCCACTGTGTGACTGTTCTGAGTTTTTGAGGTGCACTCATGTATGACATAATGGTGTGTAAACATGTGGACAGACATACGGGCAGATATTTTAACACCTCCTGGCAGGCAGAGAATAAAGGAAATTCATTCTGTTTTATGTGGTGATTCACTGCAATGACTCTTATCACTGGAGAGAATCAACCCTTAATACTGGCTCCTGTCAGGAATGAGGTTTTTTTCTGTTCCACTTACTCAACCAGAAGAGGAGATGAAATGCTCACCAGTACCTTTGAAATATAGAACTTCATAGAATTATACACATTAATATTTATGAAATTATTGTATTGACCATGAGCTGCACTCATGTTAGGAACCTATATATTTGCTTGTAGACATAGGAATGCTCCTCTCTGTGCTCAGTCCTCAAGGTAGCCATGCAAGAGCTCGAGCAAAGTGATTTTAATTCAGTTTGTGAGAAAAGACAAACTGTACTGTGCATTTCTGTAGGAATAGGAAAGCTCAAAGGTCTCTTCAAAAGAGGGAAATGAGGTTGAAATTGGCTGCCTCTCATGTGCCTTTGTTTCCTTTATTTCAGCATATTGCCAAGGGATAAGTTTCTGGACTGGTATCCTATCTTAATACACATGGTTGACAGTTTGATTTTTAATTCAGTTTCCAAACTTTCTGTGCAGTGACATAGCTGGCAATCCTGCTTTCGAAACATATTTCCAGGTCCTCTGTGCTCTGTGATGTTTGGCTCTGTGCTGGACTTTCAAGGAGAGTGTATTTTTTAAGATACAGCAATATTTTTAATAAACAGCTCTCAACAACTGTCACTCATGTTTAGGAGCAAGCCAATGTGCCAATACACAGGACAAGCTTTACCTACTAGATTAGCTGCAAAATGCAAACTGTCCAAAATAAACTTCGTACATTTCTAAGTGGTTTGGATTTTTCTTTTTAAAGGATTGTATAAGGATGTTTAAGTAAAAGAAGTGAAGATGATACTGGCTTTTCCCCATAACATGCCTAAATAGGAGAATGTTGCAGTATGTAGAAGTCAAAAATATATCTTTATAATAACAGGAAGAAAATTTATTTTTCCTTATCCCCATTTGGTTTCTTTTAAAGATCAGCCTTCTTATACCCCCCATCTCTCCTGCACCAAGGTCCTCAACATGTCTTGGAGTGGGGAAGTAGACTCCCATACAAGGAAATGAGTAAAAGACCTAAAGAAAAAAGACAAAGCATACTGATATGGAAGAAGGATTTAGAGGAGGATGCATGTGAGTAGATGAGTCATGTGAGTCAGAAGCAAAGAGTGAAGAAGGTATTCTGGTGCTCAAGAGGAATACCAAGACTACTTTTTCACACAGTAGTTTATGAATTTAAGTTTTGTTATATTGATTTGTGATCTCCTCTACTAGGGCAGAGAGACTTTGTGTGATAGGGAGACCCAGATTTCTGGTAATGGCTGAGATGTGCAGAGCAGTAGAGCAGTTTTTCCACACATAACAGTCCTCCATGATTACTTAAAATCTTTGAGTAAAAAAACTTTGTTTTTTTCCAGCCTCTGCTCGCAGAGAAGGATTAACACACACCAGGTGAGGAATCTGGAGCATTGCTTCAAGTATGGGGTAAAGGAAAAAGCAGCAGTGACTTCATGCCACCACACTCCCCTAACAACCAGAAAAGAGAGAAGAGGAGGCCTTGGTGAGAGGAAAACCCACTGAACATCTGTGGAAGCAGATTGTGGTGATACGCCTGCAAGCTGAGGTGAATGATTGCCTCTGAGAGCTTCTGCTGCTGAGTCTTTGGGTCCCTTCCTTCCACCTATTCGTGATCACTAACTGTGAGATCTTTCTGTAAGACAAGAAATCTTTCCTCCAGCTGTTCTTCCTAAGGTCCAGGTTTGAACATAAAATCTCATTTGCTCAGCCATTTCAGTCTGTCCCAGTCTGGTAACAGCCACAATTCTGTGCTTTCATCACATGGCAACCATCAGCAGAGAAAAATATTAGAACATATGACTGGAGATATCTGTGTTTGTTGCCATCTTGAATTTTGGCACAGAGCCATGGAAATGATCCATTTGAATAAAGTAATTTCATTTGTTTGTTTTGGTTGCAATTTCAGTTATTAATTCGCACCCCCAAAATATTTGCTGTCATTTTACTGGACAGGATTTTAAATCTGTCTTTATGTTTCACTGTTGGATGCTTATATTCTGTGTGGCTTATTTTGTGTTTTGATTTCTGTTTGTTTAGGCTTTATAAACTTTTTTAATTGGCTGATATTTTCAGACCCAAGCTTGAATCCTAAGGCCCAGGTGGCTCTTATCAGTTGCAGTAGTGGCTTGGTGAAGCACTCCAGCCACTAAATTAAAATTTGCCTAACATTATGAAAGTTAGTTTGCTTGTGTTAGAAAACAACATCAGCAGCTGGAAAGCGTATTGGAGAGAAGATCCATCCATCCTTAAAATGAACAGGAAGCAGCTTCAGCTCTGGCTCTTTGTTGGTGCCCGGATAAAGGAAAACTCATTATTTTGCAACTTCTGCCTTGTCCAACACCAAGGAGTATGATTTCAATTCTCAAAGGGTACAGAATCTCCCTTTGCTTGTATCAGAGTCCTCTGAGATTGGATTCAACATCCTGTTTGACCTCTTTTCTTATTCCATAGCTGCCCTATCAGTTATAGCCTGTATAGTCAGTGTTAAGAGATCATTCTAATCTGTTGGCAAGTAGATAATGATCAACTCAAAGGGCTGACAGAAGAAACCATGTCAGAAGGGGAAAGTGTTTTCTCTTGAAACGATTGTGTTCCTGTCCACTCTTGAATTCTGCATATTTTCTGTCACTCAAGACCAGATAAATTGAGGGAAGATTAAATAATTATGTTAATACCATCACTTGCTTAAAGCATGAATTTTTCTGTTCCACTCACACATATGAAACACATTGAATACTTCACTTGTCCAAAATACAGCTCTCTGATATAGCTGTTTCCTTCATTGGCTTATCTTTCATTTCTCTTAGACAGTCATGATCCTGTCGGGATTTCTTTGCATTTTTTCAGCTGTGTTCTTCATGCATCTCTACAGCATTTTTCTGCTGCCTGTGCTGCCATCACATATCATCAGTGACCAAGAGATTTGTAAAATCTTGTGAAGTTATGTTCAGACCATGTCCTTTCTGTCTGTAGTCATTGAATTCCACCCATAGGTCTTGAAGATAGATGTTTCTACTGGTGCATCAAATTGTTGGCTCATGCTTAGTGAAAGTTTGGTTGCAGAGTTTGTTACTTCAGACTTCTGCACATCCTCAGCAGCTGTGGACTTCAAGATCTTGGGTCTGTCTTCTCACAGCCTACTCTGCTATGTGTGGTATTGGCTGTACCTTCCAGCTCCATTCTGGAGATTTTGGAGGGGCTACTTCCCTATAAGATTTAGCTTCAGTAAATAACAATTCTGTTCCTTTTTTCCTCCTGAAGGATCTGAGTTATCCTTATTCCACTGGGTTTCATGTGCAGGATTGAGTAGCTATAGGATATACATCCTTGTGGAACTCTCATGTCTGTTTTTGTTCTCTAGTTTGTTTTTTTAGGTTATCACAGTCACCACTGAAAACTATAGAGATGTTTGAAGGACAGAGATTTAAATACAGTTAGCCCAGGAAAGGTGATTGTCTTAAGAGAATTATTGGCAGAAGCAGCATTGTTACATCTTTGTCAAGAAAATTACCAGTTAATGCTGACTTACTATGAACACAGGTTAATTGTTTTGCAGCTTTGCCAATCTCCCACCCACTCATTTTGGGATAATAATTTGTACTCAGTTTATAGCCATGTTTTCTGAACTTCTTTGCATTGCATGTTAGATGTAGCCCACCTCACACCTGTAACTGTGATGACTTAGTAGCAGTATGTCAAACATCCTGTCTCTAAGATTTTTTAAGTATTCAGAAAAATGCACAGTGCAGTCTATGACCATCATTTTGAAGGGATGAATTTTGTCAGCATCAGGAGAGTGAAGCCTTGCATCCTTTGCCCCTGGAAAATTTTTCTTGTTTTCAACAAATACAAAAAACCCCTAGGGGTATCAAGACTGGTCGTTTACCTGAAGCCAAACACCTAGACCTTAAACTGCTGTTCATTCTCAGGATATGTTAGGGCAGCCAGAGCATCAAAGGACATAGCAGTATTCCTTTGCCTTGGGAATCTGCTGATCCCAGCTCTGAGCACAAATGCTGTTACATTGAGATCATGTGCAATAGAGAATCAGGAACAAATCTTGTGATTCCAGTCTCTTATTTTTCCATCCATCTGTATTCCTCAGCCTGGAGTCCATATATGTCTTTGTGCATGGTGGGTGCTGCTACTGAAAGATAACATATGCATTTTGTCTCTTCACAGCTCTGCTACCTCCATGTCTGTCCCTTTTCAAAAACCTCTCAGAGCGTGCTTCAGTTAAGAGATTCAGTGGGAAGGCATAGAACTGTTTCCCACACAACTTGGGAGAGCAGGCATTTTATAGGAAGTGTCTTCTAGTACAAGGGAGGAAAGTTGAATAGCAAAGCATTTTGGATTTATAATAGTTGCACAAGGGGAGTAGAATTATATATGTGTTCCTCAAGTGCAGATTATTTTTTCTTTACTTTTTTGACATTAACTTCCCTGTATTCATCAACGAGTTTCATCAAAAGTGCCTTTTTTTACTGTGAGAAAAGAAAATTACCAGTAGAATGCCCCAACAGTCATTTAGAAACTGGTTCAATGGTGACACTGAATAATGTAATTGAGGGATTCTCCTCTTCTGTGATGTTTGCATCACTTCTAAATTATGCACCCTGTTCTAATGACAGAGAATCAGATTTGTTAGTCTTGAAAGGAGTAATGTGTACATCAGAGTCCTGGAGGCTGAGGTAATGCAGAGTTCACGCAGCATTTTGTGCTGTGTTTAGCTGATGAGCATACTACAACATAAAAATTAAGGGAGAGGTATTAGATTCTCCTCTCCAGAAGAGCTGACTTGTACTCACTACATGAAGTATTAAGTTCCCTTTTACATGTTTTATCTTGGCCTTTAAAACATCCTCACAAGTCATGTGAGTGCCATCAGTGGGAGAGCACGTGACACTAGATAGAGCACTTAGTCTTGGATGCCAGCAAGACATCCTGAAATTATCTAGTCTTGAGAATAGAATGTTTTTGGGCAATCATGGTTTGTTGGAAATGCTCCTCATTATGATGCTTGAAAGGTTGACATACATATCTCCGATAATGGTTCCACACTGTGAAAGGAGGTTTTGGTATCAAGACCTTTGTTTACGAGTAGGAATTTCAGTGCTGTGCCTCTTCCTCATATCAAAATATGGAGTTTCAATGTGCATGGAGTTGAATGGCTGGCAGTGCTAGACCATTCTTCTTCTTTACCTGTGAAGGAGATCATTGACTTACAGATGACTTTACAGAACAGACTTGGATTCTCAGCCCTCATTTTTTCAGGCCTGTACCTTGTACTAATACAACATTTCCAGTAATTTTGGATTATTTGCTAGAAACAAAAGTAGTCTGGCTCCTGACTTATTTTTTTAAGGTTTACTTGATAAAACTGCCAAGGACTTTTTTCCTCAGTCAGTCCTACGTTTGCTGCTCATAATAATCCTGGGCTCACTGTTTAAATCTGGATAGGTTACTTGCTGCTGTTTAAATAGTTGGATTTTTGGTTGCAGTAAATGGCTGATTAATCCTCTTCATACCATTTCCTTTCTGAATGCATTATTCCTGTGGATCTGTCATAAGTTTCTTCCAAAAGAAGCTTCTGAGGCTTTATTTAAATATGGGACTTGAATTCCTTTTCTTCTTTCTAGAACCTTATGTTTCTAAAGCTGAAACATCTTAATGAACCTGGTAACTGGTTTCTTCCCACTTTAGAACATGCT